CCTCCACCATGTCCTCCACCATAGTCCTTGGGCCCTATCTACCCTTTGGTTTCCACCTTCCCCACCCCCTCTGGCAGCCTTAATTCTACAGATTTCTGGGTTTTATTTTTGGCTTTGTTTGACCCTTTGATTGTTTCTCTATGTTCATACAAATGAAAGCATCTAATATTTGTCTTTCTCTCCTTTTTGCTCTAGCATTATCTCCTCCAGTTCCATCTATGTTGCTACAAATGGTGAGTTCATCTTTTTATTGCTGCATTGTATTCCACGGTGTATTATACCACATTACTTGCTGTAATCCTGCTACTGTTTTAGAGAAATAGCTTTAACCGGTGCGGTCATATATTTTTGAGATAAATTACCCTTTTATATCATTACCTAGGCTTTTGTTCTGTCGGATAAGATTTAAAAAAAAAGTAGATGTTTCCCTTGGGACTAAGTATTTATCTGAAGAGGCCTGTGGTTGAAATAAGGATAGAATAACAAACATTGAGATTTGCCTTTAAATCATCCTCTAAAGAAATAGGTTCTCTTCGGCCTCCCTTGGTGGTGCACTGGTTGAGCGCTGGGCTGCGAAGCTGCCCGCAGCCTCTGCAGCACCGGTTCAATCCCCAGCTGTCGGCCAGGGTCCCACATGGCACGGCAGACCTCTCCTGCTGCAGTGTACTTCGTCAGTCTGCCTGTTCTGCAACCCGCTCTGGCTCTGGTGAATTCTCTCACCCTCCCGCACATCTGACTGTACCCAGTGCTTGTATAAATAAATAAATAAATCTTAAAAAAACAAAATGAAAGAAATAGATTCTCTTAAGAGGTTTACCAGGAATCTGACTTTCTCCTCTGCTAAGAATGATAAAGGAATCTAGAGACTTTTGCTTAGCATTATATCCTTCCTATATATACACCGACACACAACTTTGGTAAAATTGTTTTAACCTGGGCAGGAGAAAAAAGAAACAGTTTAGGTTCCTAAACTGTTTTTCCATAATCTCAACTCTTTTAGAACTATTAATACCGACCTGGAGCCAATCTTTCAAATCATAACTATTCAGTGTTGCTTCTTGTGTCCTCCGTGGGCCCCTGTGACCTTAATTATGGAATTAACTATTATGGTGCAACTTTAGGGTTTTACTTTCAACTTCCTGTCCTGCAGCAAGAGTGGGTGTGAAATACAGAATTGTTTTGTTGACAGATTTTTTATCTGTTACCCTTTAATTGCTCACCAGTCTATCAGCTACCCAAAAAATGAAGTTCCTCTTGTGTTCTTTTAGTAATGGGATCAGTTGGTGATGATAATGTGCCCTCTTGAGTCTCCTTGTATATATAAACAAAGTGGTTTTTGCCTAGCTCCCTTGCATGTGGGCGGATATCCCCAGTTAATAAGCAGGGCATCTGTGTGTATGCTTATGTGCATACACGCTGCTGTATTTTGAAGTAAGCTAATGAACTGTAGGCCATAAGCCTTTATACTTTACTTGAATCAACTCAATTAACCAGTCCAGGCAAGTCTGAATCTTTGTGGTAATAGCTATAACACAAAGAAGCTCTCATATATTGACTGAGAATCTCACATGGATTCTGGCCTCTAGGGTTAAAAGATACAATTAAATTATGAGTATATTCATATCATGGTAACCTGAGTTTATATCCATGAAGAACATAGTGAACACTGAATTGGGCTGTTATTTTGTTTTGTCCTTCAGTCATCTCGTGGATATGGGTCTGGAGGCAGAGTGGGGAAAACAGCTACTGTACAAGGCAGCGCGTCTTTTAAAAGAAAAAGAGAAATTCCTGGAAGCTTTGCTTTCAGTTTACTCACTTAACAATATTCCCCTGATATTATTACTCGTCTTCTGTCTGGGTGAGGGCTATTAAGATGCTGGCAGAAAACATTTCTAGAAAATTCCTGCAGCATATAAATCCAAGGCTGTTTTTTTTTTTTTTTAAAGGATTTATTTATTTATACAAGAACTGGGGTACAGGTCAGAGGCGTGGGAGGGTGAGAGAACTCACCAGAGACAGAGCGGGGAGCAGAACAGGCAGTCAGACCAAAGACACTGCTGAGGGGAGCAGCAGGTGAAGCAAGAGAGGTCTGCCGTGCCAAGGCTGGTTTTTACCTTTTGTAGCTGTTTTACATTCTGACCTGAATACAATAGGCCAGGTCTGAAGATAGAATGTGGATGAAAGGTTAAGAAATAAGGGTGTCTGGGGGCCTCCCCGGTGGCGCAGCGGTTGAGTGCTGGGTTGAGAAGCTGCCTGCAGCCTCTGCTGCGCCGGTTCGATCCCCGGCTGCTCCCCGGCCACCGGAGGAGGGTCCCACATGGCGCGCAGACCTCTCCTGCCGCCCGCTGCTCCCCTCAGCAGTGTACTTTGGTCCTTCTGCCTGCTCTGCTCCCTGCTCTGGCTCTGGTGAATCCTCTCACCCTCCCACGCTTCTGACTGTACCCAGTGCATGTATAAACAAAACAAACAAATAAATAAATAAATAAAACATGCCTCTATTAAAAAAAAAAAAAAAAAAAAAAAAAAAAAGAAATAAGGGTGTCTGTACGTGTGCATGTGTGTATATATATGTGCATGCAAATGGGGAGGAAATGCTTGCAAGTATGAGAGGAAACACCTATGCTTTCACTTAGCTGTTCACTGGGAGATACTACCTAAAGCATGTCTCTTCCTGTCCATGCAAGACATCTTACTTTTTCTAAGATGTGAGCAGGGAGGAAATGTATTCGTGAACACAGAAAGAACTCCAACGAAACAGTTCGCGGTGAATTCACTTGTAGTAATATGTTCTGGAACTTTGTACTGATCACTTTGATGCTTCCTCATTCCTTTCATTGTGTATTCGCTGGGTTCTTCCATTTCTGGTAGTCTTCTGTCTTAGGGAAAAGCAAGGTGTGCATGTAATGGCATCTATTAAATAAATTCTCCTGTCTAGAAAAAGTTAATGGCCTTAACAAACACATATTTTATAATATTGCTTAAGAATGTGTTTTGTAGTTAAAAGCTTTTTTCAGCTTCTAAGTGTACTAGTCATCTCAGAAATTAAGAAATAGGACTGGAAGAAGGGAATTAAAGAAGATAAAGGAAAACTAGATAATGGAATTTAATGCACGAGGCAAACGTAGTTTCTTTCCTATGTAATTTTATATTAAAATTGATCAGATTCAGAAATTGAGAGGAAAAATAACCCCAGGTATTTTCTCTTTGTGCTATAATTTCATTCTAGGTGTATCTTGCTCATTAATAATGCAGTAACTTGCTATATAAAGAAAAGCAAAATACTTCAAGTACTTTAGTGAGCCCAAAGTGAGACCCTAAAACTTTGTGTAAAGTTGCCTTTTAAATATTTACATAAAAGGTAGTTCTGAAACTCAAAACCCGAAATATTTAAAGGTGTCACGTGCGCATAAACGTTACGCATTTTCATTGCAAATTCCACAATGAAAATTTAATAAGCAGCTTTGTTCCTTTCAGAATGTTTCAGTTAAAACATAAAGGGACAAAATACTGATACACACAACTTGTGAATACCTAGTGAAAAAGCTGATTGCAAAAGGTATACACTGAATGACCCCAGAGTCTTGAATTTACAAAATGACAAAATTATAGAAATGCTCGATGAACCGCCCTGGTTGGGGAAAGGGATGGTGTGCGTGGAGAGGGGCAGCCCCGGGCCAGGTTTATCGTGATGGTGCCGGTCTGTGCCTTGATTGTGGTGGCGATTTGAACCTAGACATGTAATAAAATGTCAGAGAACTACGCGAAAACATACACAACAATGAGTGTATTCAGAGACTGGAGAAATTCAAGTAAGGCCTGGACTCCAGTTAATTGTGTGTATTGTGTCAACGCCAATTTCCTGATTTTGATAATGTACTATCGTTATGTAAGATGGTGCTTTTGGGGGAGACTGGGCGCTGGGTACGCAGGATCTTTCTGTACTGTCATTACATCTTCCGTGAGTCTATAATTATTTCAAAACATAAAGTCAGAGACAAATGCCTCTGATGAAGAGTGGATTCCAGCTACTAATTAAAGATAGTTAGGAGGCAATTTAGTGAGACTGGTGTCCTTTCAGGAGGCTGTAGACACTAAATGAAGACTCTTGATTTAGCACTTGCAGGTCTGCAAGTCTTCAGCCTTGTCATTTTAAGCAATTACTGTTTTCTTTAACTTTTAGCTCTCTCCGAGAATGTAGGCCAAACCTTCAGGTTATACCTCCGGGTTTTTAGTATCCTCATTTGTAATGTGAGGGCTTTGTCCTAAATTCTTTGAGTGTGCTTCCTAGTTCTAGATTTTAGAATTCACAACTTTCTTAAACTTCAGCAGCTTTAATTGCAGTATTATAAAATTTTGTCTCAACATTTATTGTATGAGACATTCTCAATTTCTGTTGATTGCAAATATGGATGCAGCAACGACCTATTTAATTTACTAAGCAACATTACACATTATAAATACTTGGAGACCTTTTTACCACTTAGCTAAGTTTTATAATTTTCTAGGATTGAGGATTTGGACAATTTTCCTTAGATGAGCTACTATTATGTATTCCTGTACAAAAGTATGGCTTTATTCCATCTGAGTATCTCCCTAGAAAGGGGAGATTTACTTAGGGTATTTTCCAGGAATGGGGCCAATAACCCCCCCACCCCCAAGTCTGCTGAATGAATCATGGGGAGTTTCTGGCCAAACATTAAAAAAATAGGAATCTTTAGAAAATGACTGTTATCATTTGAGGGTGAATGAAGGTGACACTCTCCAATGACCAGTATGGCTTAAGCGTCTCTACTCATCTCAACTACTTTTCTAAGATGCTAAAATTGTGACTCTGGGGAAAGTGAATCCACTATAAAATCAGCCTCAGCATTCCCCAAGGCTACGCCAGCCCTGGTGATAGATGAAAGGATCTTAACTTAGATTTTTGTCTTGTAGTATTGATTTCCCTTAGGCCTATGGCAATTTAAGTCATAGTCAAGCCAAAAAAAAAAAAAAAAAAATCCAGAGCAAACAAAACAACTCACAGCATCCATGTAATCATTTTTATTAACAAAAGGAACCCATGGGGTCCAAACAAGAGTATAAAATACAATCTTTTTTTTTTTTTTTTTCCTGTGGGTTAAACTGTTACAATTTTAAATAAAAATAAAAAACCTTTTATAGTTAACTTATTAAAAACATAACCCCTGCCTATTGAGTTTTTAATGTGCAAAACAAAGAAAGGAAAAGGAAAGTCTCGCCTGTGGTAGGATTTTGTGTGCCAGAAGATGCACGTTTTCAATTTCAAAATTTTTGCATCAAAAAGAAAATTCTAAGGCCACAGTTTCTTCGCAAACTAAACCAAGGGAATAAACAAGCAAGTAACAGCAGCTACATTTTTATCTTCATTCTCAGGTGTTCTCTGCTCCAATGTAGAATTTCCTGCATTTATAAAATAATTTGATGACGAAGATATGCAGTTTCACCCCCCTGCTTAACGTCAGATATACCGACATCAATTCAGTAAGGCACAGCACACCTTAGCTATTCTCTCAAGTGCTCCCAAATCAGCTTTGCTTCAAGTTTGTGGGGGCACATCATGACCTCTCCAGCAAAACCATTGGTGAAAATGGTGAAAACCATTCCTAGTGGAGGACTCCATGAAGCAGCTGCTCTTCCACCAGGAGGCCTGTCATTTGTCTTTCTCCTCCTCCATATTGCTTTGTTTTGCTTCTTTCACTTTGTTTTGGTATCAGAAAGATGGACAGGTGGTTTAAACTCTAACTCAGAAGTCAAGAAACAGTTGAAGATGATCTTTTTTGAAGCAAAACCAAATCTGTTTAGACAGCACTTAATGCACATACCTGTTTAAGACACACACACACACACACACACAAATAAAGCAAAACAAAAAGCCACAAAAAAACCAAAGCAGGGCGTAAAGCTTTGTGACAGTTTCAGTAGCTTAATTATTGGTGTATGGTTTTGCAATGTGATTTTAAACAGTGGCTTATAAGGAAGGAAAGACTTGTGATTTTACAATTCACATTATTTTACACTGAAGGAGATGCTTATGGCGCTCACATGATTATGGAGGAGAGAGGTATGTCCGGAAGGCTGAAAACCATGCATTTACCTTTTATCTGTAGAAAAATCCCTGATCAGATGGCCAGCGAATTTTCAAATCAAAAATCTAACCTTAGAAGAACTAACTTTTCAACTCCCAGCTGAATAGACTGATTGAAAGAAAAACGCATCATTCTGATGACTAAGGTACAGTATTCTGCAAGGGAAGCACCAGGGTTTCTGGATCAAACCCTTACAACAAGGAGAAAACTACTCAGCTGCTCCAAAATCCCTGGTGGGAATCCCAACCTCCCACTGAGTGTCCAGAAACGCTCTCAGCTCACAAAACCAATAGATTAGAGAGAAAACAAGGGGAGGTGTGACCGTGAAGAGGAGACGGGACAGCAAAAACACTGCTCAGACTTTTAGCAGCAACAATCCTGTTGGTCTGAATATCCTGAGGTTAAATGATAATAAAATATTGCACCGAGACAATAAACACAATCACAGTTAAAGTAGAATTACTGAAGGGGTGGACTAACACAGTGACCGCCATTAGACTTTAGTCCCTTGACAGAAACTGGGTTAATTATAAAAATGGCATTTCTACTCTCTTTTGATTTTGCATTTGCTTTGAAATACCCTTTGGTATACATATAGTAAGTTCTATCTAATGCTAACGTTATGGATTGCTCCCTTGCTCCAGCTGCAGACTTAGTGATACGTGAGATGAGACCACAAATTAGCAGAAACTCCAGTGAGAACTGAGCAGACCAACAGTCTGAACATGGATCAGATAACCCCACTTGAGGCAGGAGTCCCCTGTGCCGTTACCAAGGCGTCCTGTGGATGCAACCCTCCCCCCCAGTTCTTTTTCTAATGTGCTTCTAGGTAGGTCAGACACGAGGCAAACCAAGCATGCATCATGTTAAAGCACTTAAAAGGATAAAAGATAAAGTCTTCAACAAAAAGGTATTTTCATATTGAAAGTCATCTTTTCCCCTTGAACTATCAAGCCTCTCAAGGAACTCTTCATAATACTGTACAGCCAGTTCACAAACTAAACTACCATGGAAAGGGTGAAAACTGTATTTCTTCATTAAGACTTAATGAGACCATGATCTCAAGAAAGCATCTGTCCTACGGAATATGGTAAGAAACCATGGAGACCCCGAGAGCCGAGGGTCTTGTGATCTTTACAACAGGCCACCTCCTATTCATGCAGAACCCGCCACTACATTCTCCATCGAGTCTCATCCTGCAGAGTCCATGCTGCCTCAGCACTTAGGACACTCCAGTTCCATCTTGAGAAACCTTTTTAAAGATACTCACATAGTGTTTTCCAGCCCCCCCCCCGAGTCCTTTCCCTTGGAAAGGAAGGGGCAGGCACCCCTCACTTACTCCATCACCACCAGGACTTCCAGCACAATCTGACCTTCCACATCTTCATCCCCTTAAAGGGACACACGACCATGACATGACATGGACTTGCAGCACGATCCCGTCTGCCCTCTGGAAAGTTCACATAGTCCTTCATTTCTAACACCTTCAGTTTTGATGTTCGTTTATATTGAGTTCTCCTTCCCCCAGACAAGGCAAGGAGACAGGACCTACAATCACATCTGATGCACACAGTGATTTCTGAAATATGTTCAGAGAATGAAGGAAACAGGCTGGGCCTCTTCTATGTCACTAGGATGTGGATCGACCTGTAGAGAGAAGCAAAGCAAGGTGATCCTGGGCCTTGTTTAGGTGATCTTGGAGTCTAAGTGTGGGGCAGTTTTGGGCCACACCGCTCCCAACCTATTATTAGTTAAGTCCAGTGACCACTGAGCTCTCACAGTCCCTGGCTACATGAAACACCCTCCAGGTGACCCTAGCACCACGCATGTGCCCAAAGCGCATGTGGTGAATACGATAAATGTGGCAAATGCATCACTGATCTTTGTTTTCACCACCATGAAAACTCCATTAGATGTATCGTCTACTGCAATCATTAGCAACCAGCAACAGTCACTTACAAAGGATTATTTACAAATGACACGGAAAAGGCACAACTTCTCTAGTAAAACACCCGCCAGCTTTGCTCACCTCTGAATAGAGCGGCGGGGGCTGAAACCTGAACTCCTGGATGCAGGCGAACACCGGACAGCAGGCTTCCTCCTCACAGTCCACTGGCAGCGGAAATGGAGGGACGTGCCGGGCGAACTCCTCCTCCGACACCACGTCGGCGTAATTTGGGGGAGCTGAGGCAGAGACAGAGTCGGGGCTGAGATTGATGCAGACAGTAATTACAGGACATTCATTTCTGCTGAATTCTCCCAGGACCAGACATTTAGCGAAATCAGAAAACGATGGCATTTCCCCACTTCTTAGTCAAGTTTCTGCGTCCATTACAACAAAAAATTATTGAATAGATTCTGCTTTTATTAACTACTATTGGCACTGATTATATTCTTCCCTCTTGAGACATGTGTCTTATGGCCTATATAAAACAAGTACTATTGAGATGTGGTTATAAGAAAATACCTCATGCTCTAGACTGAGCGATTCTGACTATAACTGCAATCGGGAGATGCAGACGTGATCCCCAGTCTGCCACTGGAAGCTTTGTCCTTACAGAGAAGCTCAAGCCTCAGACCCCTTTCCAAGAAGGATGCGTTTGTATCTTTGGTAACCAGAAGAGCTAAGGACAGCTGAAGAGGCTAGTCGCTGCAGCACTTGTATCCTACACATCCCATTCCTAGGAATATCAGTACGACAACCTCATTCTGAAAGGGCCTCCGATCACTTTACCTTCAGGCTGTTCTGGCAGAGTCAGAGTCAACCAGCTCATGTCCATGAGGAACTGGCTGGCAATGCTGGAGTTTCTGCTGCCAAAACCATTGTATGGAATTGTGCCAATCACTAAGGGCAGCTCAAGCATCAACTTTTTAGCACCAGGAATGTGAATGTACACCTAATCCACAGAGGGAGAAACAGAGAGAAGTCAATCCTCATAGCAGACAGCCTGACATTTATTTTTCACAGTGACAAAAGCGTCTGCCAATACAATCATAAATTGTCCTGACCAAATAACATGAAGAATCAAGCAAATGAAGAGCGAAACAATACAGCGACTATTTTGTGATGGGGCACTGTGGCCTTACACACTTCGCTGTAAGTGGGCACAGCTTACACAGTGACTATAAATCACTAAATATCTTCTATACAGTATACTTTAATATAACAAGTCTGTACACTTTACTATAACAAGTGCCCCTGGATACATCTTAATTCATGTGTGTTATTTAATTAAACTCCGAGGGAGATAGTTTCTGACTAAAAACAAAAGCCCATCCTCAGACACTCTGCAATTTGTTGTAATGCCGACATGAAACGCCACTTCTTGGGGATTACTGTGCATAGGCACAATGACAGGGCACCAGCTATTGCTCCTTTCCCCATATTTTTCCTTTGAAGAAGAGCTCCGCTTACAGCTAAGGAATAATCGACCCTGATGATGCAGCAATCCAGGATGGATGGGGTGACAGGAGGGATCTTCAGGGTCTTCCCATTCCACGTGTCGGTGCTCCCGGAGGCGATATGGCTTCCCCGCACATTGGCCACCATGTGCCGGACGGTCTTTGTCCTCCCACTAGCCAGGTATGTCTGGGTTTGGAAAATAGCAGCTTTGGGAACAATCAGCCGAGACGAACAGTTCTCTATTTCCGCGTAGATTGGAATAGCTTCTCCTAAAAGGCAAACAAACCCACCTTCAGAGACCTGGCTGAAGTTCTCCCCACAGAGGCACGGAGCCCTACCAGTGAAAGTTTAAAATTGCTAATGTAACCCGTTAACAAATTGAGAAGCCCTGCTGGGAAACTGAAATCTGAGTCAGAGAAATGAAAATTCATTGCAGGATAGGCTAGACACTGTTTTCTGATGGCTCACTTTTCTAATAGTGACAGTCTGCTATCAACTGTAAGGACAGGGAAAAAAATCAGTATCTATGAAAATTAAGGCACACAAATAAATGTGTCCGTACTATGCTAAGTGCAAAAGGTGACTAACAAACCCACTAGTACTGAGCAGTTTAAAACCTGCCCAAATGGAGATAATGTTAAGACACAAATACAACAACATATGCAGCAGGGAAGTTTCACATCTGTGTGCAACGTGCTCATGCACACCATTCCAACACGCCAGGACCCAGGAGTGGGGGCCGCATCCACTGTATGGAATTGGACCCTCCACCCACCACTGTTCAAATGTCAACCTGACTGTGAAGATGGCCCATGCTCTAAGTCCCAGTCAGATGTGTCTGCATCCCCAGCATGGGATCAGACTGCCCAATGTTACTGTCATGTTACAGTAGCGCTCTCTCTCTCTTTTTTAAAGATTTATTTATTTATGCATACGAGAACCGGGGTATAGGCCAGAGGTGCAGGGGGTGAGAGGATTCACCAGAGACAGAGTGGGGAGCAGAAAAGGCAGATCTACTGAAATACACTTATGAAGGGAGCAGCAGGTGAGACAGGAGAGGTCTGCTGCGCCATGTGGGTCACCTCCCTGGCCGGGGATCCAACTCACACTGCAGAGGCTGCGGACAGCTTCACAGTGCTGTGCTTAACTCCTTGTGCCACCAGGGAGGCCCAGGAGCTCTCTTCTAATCAACACTGCATTGACATTCTTTTTGAACACTGAAATAAAATGCTGGCATTCCCCCCCACTCTTCTAGTTTAGTTTTGCTGCTAGGTCTGGAGAATCTAGCTATACTGGAATCTACCGCTCCATTAAACAATATTTAAATATCAACTATTTACATTAATATAAAAGTTTATTATTCATGTTTGAAAACAGCACTGTCTATAAATTACAATGCGTGCTATTAAAAATCACTTAAAATTAGCTAGCAAAATGAATGAATGAATGAATTTCCATTCGGATGTTCCAACATTTTGCTTACCATTACAGTACCCTTTTCGTTCGATTTTGGCACTCAGCGAGACAGGCCCAGAAGTGAAACACCAGCAGCCGACCATTTTCTCTTGGGTTTTCAATACAGGGGTCTTGAAAATTTCAAATCATAAAACAATTTTAATTAAGCCATTTTAGAAAATTCACTGAACTTAAAACTATGCTCTTTTTTACTAAACATTGTTAAGACATGCCTAACAAAAAACAAATCCGCTTTCCTCATCCTTATGAGACATATCAGAAAAAATATCAAAACACAAAGCATTATAAAACTTATGCGCTTTTCAGAAAAACTAAGGTTTCAGATTCAAAATAGGATGGCATGGCGCCATCCTATTTTACCCTACAGTCTTCACATTTCTGAGGATGACACATCATGCCTTCCAAGAGCCACCAAAAACTGCAGTGGCACGTACTAACTCTTATTTAACACTTGATGTGTGACCAGTTCAAAAGAGAAATGGCATGAAGATCAATAACCAGAATGTGGTATTTGCTTTGGTATATAAAATGTGGAGTAAGCACACACTTTTTCTTTACTTCAAAATGCACTATGGGCAGAATTTTAAGTGTGTGTAATTACCTATGGTCTTAAGAGTTTTGTAAAATGGCAGCATAATTAACACGCCCAGCTTAGTAATGGATCCGAAAGATTAGCACAGCATGAGCAAACTAAAAGCTCATTAAAATCCCAAGATGCAATTTTTTCTCTAACTTATAGAAAAGACAGTAAAGAATATTTCTGACCAAAAAAACCCTTTAAATAGGGCCTCCCTGGTGGCGCAAGGGGTTAAGACACAACCTATGATGCTATCAGTAGCCATTACAGCATGAGTTCGATCCCCAGCCAGGGAGCTACCCACACGGTGCAGCAGACCTCTCCTGACTCACCAGCTGCTCCCCTCGGCAGTATATTTCAGTTGATCTGCCTGTTCTGTTCCCCACTTTGGTGAATTCTCTCACACCCCACACCTCTGGCCTGTACCCCAGTTCTTGTATAAATAAATAAATCTTTAAAAAAAAAAACCTTTAAATCATTTGCACAATGATCATAGTTTAGAAATAGTTAACCTCCCAATTCTATGTAGGTTTTCCCCCCCCCTCAAAAACCCCCCAAAAACTAGACATTTATCATCATCAATTTTCAAAATCAGTTTTAAGTGGGTGCTGAGGAGGAGCTATGTGTGAGGTCAGCCAGGTACGAGGCAGGATATGGTTGTGGCCACAAGGAACCAGGAGACCGGGGCATCTTTGTTACACTTTCACAGTCTAAAGATGAACGTGAGAGTTCATTCTATTTCAATTTTGTGTGAAAATAGAGTTTGACAACTTTAAACTCCCGGTTCTCTTTTCTCCCCCTTATCTTTAAAAACATTGGCTCGAAAAGGAAATCTCCAATACTACAAATACATCTTTGTAACATCAGCATCATGATGGAAAGTTTAAATTATCCCAGTATTTTCTAGGAAGTAAAAAAATCATTCATTCATATTGAAATGAAGAACCATTAGGTCCTAGTAGCTATCATGAAAGTACAAGGTATAATTTTATATTATTTTGATAATATGGGTTTAGATAAAAGAATCTAGCTCATTAGCGCCCATCTTGCCTATTCTGTTGTTACTTATAGCCTAATCTTTCTTATCAGGCTACAGTATTTCTGGTGATTATTAGAAGTTCAATGCTTTAATGTGGCCAAATCTGTCATAAGGAAATAAGTGAAAGGGGCCCCGCAGCAGCTGCACACACTTACTTAATGTGAGAAAATGACATGCAAAATGGAAGCCGCCAGTACAATGGCCTGTGCTTCAATAGCAGGCTGTGCCTGATTGATGCTCTTCCGTAATTACTGTTCCTCAACCTGCTATTATTGAGGACTTGAGAATACCACAGTTCTGTGAATGTGGCCGTGCTGGTAAAAGTAACTACTCTCTGTGTGCGCGTTATTATTATTAAGCCTCATTAATGCATTTCAAGCCTGTATAACTTTTTGGCAAAAGCAGCCTTAAACAACAGGGACATAATCAATAGTGTTAACACACACAATTAGTAATTTGTTCAACCTAGAATCACATATTTATAGCAAATGCCTATGGGTTATGGGACTATTCAGAAATTGACAGGACGGACGACCACAGAACTGGCCACGTGTGGACACCACCTCAGGAAGGGAGAGGGAAGAGGAAGGGCAGGTGGAAGAACTTACTAGTAACGCTGGGGTGTTGACATCGATGTGGCTAATCACCTGCAGCTCTCGCCTGACGCTCTGGTCAGGAGCCTTGGGCCGTTCCAAAACCGCCCTCACACAGTACTGAATACTTCCATACTTCCCAGTGAAGGAGGTCACCAAAGGCCTGCAGCAAACCGAAGAGATTCATTGAGGTCATTTTTCAGTTAAACAAAGCTGTTGAAATGGTGGTTTTCATTAAAGAAAAAAAAAAAAATAAGAAAAATAAGAGCGTAAGGTGAGCAGGTCTATCCAGGACAGACGTGCATCTCTCTGAGGACAGCTGGCAGCGTTATGTCTGCCTGGCTGCGGCTGACACGCGGGATACTCAAAAGGTAGATGGTTCCACCAAAAAGCAACCAACCAACCAAAAAAGAAGATAAAAAATATTCACTGTTTATCAGAAATTCAAATTCAAAAAAGTTATAGTGTTTCACTTACTCGGATGGCAGTTGAAAGCTAAATGGAAACTCATGTCTTCCAGGCTGTAATAACAGGGTGCCTGCCCCTAAAGAGAGAGAACACGGCTCATTTTATTCCGGCGGCTATTAGATGATGGGTTTTTACAAGCTAAGTCAGATTTTCTTTCAAGGAGGTCCTCCTGGTTCGAATATCCAGGATACACCAAAAAGTTCGTAAAACTGAGATCTGAATCTATTTTTACCAAGTTTAATCTGTTTCAAACCAGGTATATAGCATCTATCTTCAAACAGACCAGTCACGAAAAGTAGTTACCATAATGTGCCAGAGTCCAGAGCTCCCACAAATCTATGTACATACACGTATAACATCTGTTCACCCTAACATCTGCTCTTACACTGGTGTGACCACACTAACAGCAGTATACTATGTGATGTGAGTTGCCAATGTCAAATTACACCTACAACTAATTTAGAAAAAATGCATCTACGTCATTTGAGTGCACCGCAAATCAGACTATGTATTGTTTGGACAAAGAAAAGGATGTGAAAAATTACTTGGTATTACTATGATTACTGAGTATAATACAAGAATCCAACCAATCAGACGTTATTAAGTAAGAGTCGCATATTTACACTCAAGTTCTCCTGATGAACTGGATCTTGGTGGGTTACCTTGAAATGCAGAACAGGCTCTGCCAAGCATGGCTGTGGCCCTTGCTACCTTCCCTGAGTCAACCAGCAACTGTTTCTGGCAGAAGAGTGATCCTGGATTGGGAGAAGGCCAGGACGCAGTGTGAGGATGGACCGTGAAGGGCAGTACACTGCAGGGCTCTGACGGACACACCCGCCGCCCCACTCAGATGCAAAGTCAACTGCAGTGCTGGCTTGGTGGCTCTCCAAGAGTTACAAACTTCTCCCTCATGTTCTGCTCATAATAGATTCAAGTTTTAGGTGGGATGATTCAATTAAAGAACAGAGATAGGCTGGATACGAAAATGAAAATGACATGAGATACCAATATCAAATTACATCTATAACTAATTTAGATAAAATGGATCTACTTCATTTGAGTGCACCACAAAAGTCAGACTGTATATTCTCTGGACAAGGCACACATCTTTGGCCCATCAGGTCTTTGAGATATAACTGTTTTCTTTTTTTTTTAAAAGATTTATACAAGAACTAGGGTACAGGCCAGATGTGTGGGAGGGTCAGAGGATTCACCAGAGACAGAGTGGGGAACAGAACAGGCAGACTGACTGAAATACACTGCTGAAGGAAGCAGCGGGTAAGACAGGAGAGGTCTGCCCCACCATATGGATTGTTCGGTAGCTGGCAGGGATCAAACCATTGCTGCAGAGACTTCGGACAGATTCACAGTGCTGTGCTCAACCATCTGCGCCACCAAGGAGGCCCCTAACTCTGTTTTCAATGTGTAATAGGGGCAAAAGTATTTGCCACTTAGTTCACTAATACAGAAATATCCCACAGGTGGGTGACTTGGAGGCAAAGTGAGTCAGTCACAGGGACATGAGGTCATGTTAATGACAGTGGCAGAGTGCGTCCTGGCCTGGGTGTGCCAGCGCAGCCCCAGCCCGAGACACCCAATGACGTGCACACAGTGGCTGTCATGAGAGATTCAGGCAAGCCTCATGCTGCTGAGAAAGCCAGGTTCTAGACTTTGAGAATTACAGAATGCTCAGGAAACCTAGAACTACAGTTGTGATCATTAGCTTACTATTTCCAAGTTCTTTAAAATGTCTAAAAGTGTGGATACAAAGATCAACTGTCATACAGACCCCCTGGAGGGGAGAACTGTAGATACCTGTGCACAGGCAATGATGAGCAGAGACTGATGGAGCCCATGGAAGGGGTCTGGCACCTTGAGGACCATGCCCACCATGGAGGTGAGAGCTGGCATGGACACAAGTGGGCTGGGGTTTAGGTGAAGGGAACAGCAGGAAGAAGTGGGTGATAGGTACAGGTATGTGTGGAGAACAGAGTTTCCCAGAATACTGAAAATGGGTAAGAGAGAAATGATGCTCATTCTTTATCGAAAAAACGTATTAACCTAGGAACGACGCCATTTAACAGGGGCGTTTCAACCACTTCCGAGAAAGTTGATAAATACGGGTTCTAGTATCAAATCGCCCTTCCTTCCTCCACCCAAATTTAGGTTTGCAAGCTGAACCCATCCCTGCGTCTCTCCTCCTGCTGACTACTTCTGCGCAGGCACGGAGGACTGCAGTGTCACAGGAAGTTTCACCATTCATGGTCTCCCTGCCAAATGCAAAGTCAAGACACTTGTGAGATGTGGGAGCCAGAAGACCTTCACAGAGGCACAATGGGCTCAGGAAGGATGTGGGACTTGCTCAGGGTCACGCCGCTGGTGGATAACCAAGCATGGAAACCTACGGTCTGCTTTGTCTTTCTACAACTCTCCATGAAAGATGAAGAACATCTTCATCTTGTCTGGGGATTTTTGACAATAGATTCCTGTAGTCACACTTCCTTAAATCTGAATTTCTAAAAACCTCTTCAGGTGACCAAAATTCAGATGGTCTTGGAATAAAACCAAGACCGTCCTGGGAATTGACATCTACATAGAGAGATGATTGTTTTTCCTCAATGAGATCAACTAATACTGACTATAATTTTTAAGTAAAACATGAATTTTGTCAACATTTGTTATACATTTTATAGCAAGTTAGTTTCAAACTAAGCTTCAATATTCTATTCCATCAGAATTAAAAAAAAACCAACAAAACAACAACAAAAAACCCAACAGATCTTACTTGTGTATCAAGAAACTATGTGTTAGCCTAGAGTTTACTAAAACAAGTTTTGATTGCCAATTCCAGGTCCAAATGCTATTAATCTCACATCTATTTACTCAATAGTTATGGGCCCAGAGATACAGAGAGTCCAAAGTCCTCTGCAAAAAACCAATTCACTTCTCTTTCCAAGGCCAAGTCAGCCATCTTGCAAACTTGTGCTGTCTGTCGCCACTGGGGGTGTAGGAATGGGCTGGTCCTGGAAACCCTACTTACTGATGAAAGGCCTGAGGGCAGCAAAGAACTGGCACCCAATGCCCTGCCCTTGTTAATCCCAAAGAGAGCTTTGTTTCCAAAAATGTTTTTCCTCTTTAAAACTTCTGGGGTCACTTGATTTGGGACTACATATCTTGAGGATTTTACTGTGGATGTTCTACCTCTCAAGAGCAGGGCAAGGCAAGATCGCATCTTCTATTGATTTTGTATTAAGATACAGTAAAGGTTAAACACAGATAGAAAGCATTTTGCTGGGGGTGGAGAGCATCTAGCCCCCCACCCCCTTTTCTTTCTTGGTAGATAAAAGCTGTAGCCCATGAGACACAAAGCTAAAATAGCTTCTATGAACTGATTGAAAACTGAGGCTACTGGCAGTATTTGCTGCATGCACAGAATCATTTTTGCACTTTTTAACGGAACACCATGTAGTGGGTTCCCAAGCGGCACGTCTGGAGAAGCCTACACTACAACTGGACTTGACAAGAGTGGGTAGGAAAGCTCATCTTTCCTGCACCAGGCCCAGATCCCATTGTTCCTAAAGGCCTATATGGGGGTGGCATGAGGTGGGAGGAACAGGATGCAAAGGAAACAAGAAGCAGCAAAGACTAAAGACAAAGGAAACAGGGTAGATAGAGGCAGAAGTCTCAGGAGACCCCGCTCTCCAGAAGCGGGCAATCAAATCTGAGGGTGAAGGCAAGAAATACTTTCTTTGCGCTCTGAACCACTCAGGAACTCCTTCCCTCTGCCCCAGACTGAGGTTTTGCTAAATCATTAGGGACCAAGAACGCGGGTCTATGCGCGCGCGGGCGGGCGGGCGGGAAGCAGGGGAGCCCACAAAACCCCGAGCAAGCCGCACTGCCTGGAACCTCGCAGACCCCGGTTCTCCCCTGCACTCCTCCGGCCAGAAGGGGCAGGACCTCCATCCCAGATGGGGCTTCCAGCCCGGCCCTCCCTGGTTCCCATGGCAACGGCTCCCACCGGCGCGGTCCTGGGCGGTCCAGAGATTCCAGGTGCGCGGCAAGAGCAGGTAGAGCCGCACGCCCGCGGCGCCGGGAGGTGGGGGGCCGCGCGCATCGCTACCTGCACCCCCCCCCCAGCCCACCTGCCAGGTGGGCATCCCCGGGGCCGGCCCGCGCTCACCGGCCGGCGGCTCGCGCAGACTCAGGCGCACGTTCAGGTACTCCACCTCCGCCGCGGGGGCCGGGGCCGCGGCCGCCGCGCCGGCGCCCGGGCCCCAGGCGGCCGTGGCGCGGCCCTGAGCCTCCAGGCGCAGCGCGCGCAGGGCCAGCGGCCCCGCCGCCTCCAGCAGCACGTGCCCCGCCACGGTCTCGCCGCTCGCGTAGCAGCCCTTGCGCTCGTCCTCGAACACCAGCCCCAAGCTCTTGACGCGGCCCCCGGCGCCCGCGGCCGCGGGGGACCCCGCCTCGCCGCCCATCCCGCCGCGGAGGCCGGCGCCGGCCCGCAGGCGGCCGGGCCAGGAGAGCCGCGCGGCTGTCACGGGCGCCCGCCGCGCGCGAGGGCCGTGGCGGCCGCCGGGAGCTGCCCCGAGGAAGCCGCGAGCCGCGGGGCCTGTCGCTTTAACAGACCCAGCTGGGATGCGAAAGGGGCCGGCGCGGCCCGCCCCCCGCGCGCGCCCATAGGCCGACTGTGAGCCCCGCGTCACGCCGATTGGTGGTGCCTGGCCACTGAGTCATTTCATTGGCGGCCCCCAACACGGGCTGGCGCAGCCCGGCTGTGCGTGATCAGTAGGTAATAACCAATTGGGAGACGCGGGCGCGCACGTGCACAGGCCGCTCATAGGCTGCGGCAAGGCACAGGCCGGGCACGCGGACCAATAGCGAGGCGGTGCGCCCATGTGGACAGAGAGTGGGAAACAGAATTGGACAGGGAGGGGGCGGAACCCGGGGACTCTGCGAATTGCGGCGTGTCAAAGTTCCTATGGTTACGACGCGGGGCGCGGCTTCAGGCTGCGAGGGGATGGCAGGATCCTGGGCTCTGAGGAGAAGGTGAAGTTGTGCCTGCAACCTGCTTGTGTTATTGTTTTTGTTTTAAAGAGTTATTTATTTATGCATGCAAGAGATGGGGTACAGGCCAGAGATGGGGGGGCGGTGAGAGGATCCACCAGAGACAGAGTGGGGAGCAGAACAGGCAGACTGACTGAAACACACTGCTGAGAGGAGCAGCGGGTGAGACAGGAGAGGTCTGCTGTGCCGTGTGGGTAGCTCCCTGGCTGGCTGGGATCGAACTCGTGCTGCAGAGGCTGTGGATTGCTTCATCGTGCGGCGCCCAACCCCTTGTGCCACCAGGGAGGCCCCGTCTTGTGGTTTTGATGACACCTGCCATACGCGAAAGGAAGTAGGTCCACTGAAAAATAGAACTCAGCAATGTTTCCTTGGGAGACTTAGGGGCTGGCCAACTGGAACAAACAAACAAAAAAACACTTGAGTGGACAACGTGCTATCCCTGAGCCCAGCCTCCAGGGGTTAAGAATTCCCAGCCCAAGAGACCAGACAGAAATGAAGACAGCTGCAGTTCGCCACCTGGTAGCATCCTGAGGAGTTCTGCCCTGGACCCAATGGCCTCTAAACCAGGAAAAGCTGAACCTCTCTTTCCTTCTGCTCTAAATAGTGTCATGAGTCAGGTTGTTTCTAAACTATATCTGCTACCCAAGTTTCTGCCCCACCCAGAAGCACTCCCTGACCTTCAGCAGCATAGCTGAGGGAAGTGGCCAGTGCTGGAGGACACGTTCCCTGTGTACACAGTTCTTTCCCCCCATTCTTGTTTTCATTTTCTTTGGTCCTCCATCACGTCCATAGTCTACATTTTTTTTTTAAGATTTATGCATACAAGAGGTGGGGTACAGGCCAGACATGGGTGGTGGTGGTTGAGAAGATCCACCAGAGACAGAGTGGGGAACAGAACAGGCAGACTGACTGAAATACACTGCTGAGGGGAGCAGCGGGTGAGAAAGGAGAGGTCTGCTGGGCTGTGTGGGTAGCTCCCTGGCCGGCCGGGGATCGAACTTGTGCTGCAGAGACTGTGGATTACTTCATAGTGCAGTGCTTAACCCCTTGCGCCACCAGGAAGGTCCCCTCGTCTAGATTTCTTATGATGGAACATAGATGTTACTCTTTGGCTATCATTTTCAAACCCTTTAAGTTCTTTCCTTATAAAAATTTCAAGTTTGTCCACTGTTCTCAGGGCTTGATGCTACATGTTAAGATTTAAACTCATTTGTGATCTTGCTGTGTCTTTTATTATTATTTTTTTTTAACAATCCCAAACTATAGGTTGCTTTACTGTCCTCTCTGAGTTTAGCTAATTAATGTGGAACTTTACAAAGGTTTTCTAAGTTCAGAGTTTCCTTATCACCTCACAATGAAAGTGTAAAAGGCCACAAATCTAGGTCTGCATACAATTCTGAAATAGCTATTACTCTTTCACATTGTTACCTACAATAATCCCCATATGCTCTTACTCTGCCACTTAATACCACCTGAGTGTGTATACTTATTTGCATATTGTCCATCACCCCACTTTAAGCACAGAACTTTTTTCATCATTGTGGTACTTCTAGTACCTAACAGAGTTTAGCCTATGTAAGCACTCAATCAATGTGGAATGATCAAATGAACTCAAGCCTGTGCAGTAGTATGGTATCAGCTCTGCAGTGAATGAACACTACAATGGTGCTACACACCTTCATGCTCTGAAGTCAGATATTCTTCTCCACCCCTTTGGACCCAACCAGTGTCCAAAGGACATGTTAAACATGTGGCATTCTGTGCTGAGAATGACCAGACTCAGTTTGCTCACTTGTCAGTTAAATAACACTTCGACTATGGGTAGCAGAACGTATGACCAAACAGTGGCTGAAACAATAAGTATATTTCTTGTTTACTTGGGAAGAAGTGCTATGGTTGATAGTCTCAGGGCTGGCTTAATGGATTCCTTTTATCTCTCTCCTCTGCTTACCCTACTCCTTACCTGGGGCAGTGGTTACCACAGCTCTAAGTCTCATCTTCATATAACAGAATTTTAAAAAATTAATTAATTAATTAATTAATACAAGCACTGGGTACAGTCAGAAGCACGGGAGGGTGAGAGAATTCACCAGAGCAGGGAGCAGAGCAGGCAGAAGGACCGAAATACACTGCTGAGGGGAGCAGCGGGTGGCAGGAGAGGCCTGCGTGCCATGTGGGACCCTCCTCCGGTGGCTGGGGAGCAGCCGGGGATTGAACCAGTGCTGCAGAGGCTACCGGCAGCTTCTCAACCCAGCGCTCAACCACTGCACCACCGGGGAGGCCACATATAACAGAATTAAAAAAAAAAAAAAAGCAAAGAAGTACACACCCACCAAAAACAGAAGGGGAAAGACACTGGTTTTTCTTTTCCTCCTCTCACCTCTCACAAAGAAAATATATTTCCTAGATTCCTCAACAGTCTTCTTACCTATTTTTAGCCAAATCTGAGTCATAAGTGGACACACAGATCATTAACTTGCAAAACAAAAAGAGTTTTACAGCTCACACCAGTGCTTCTTCTCCAGGGCTGAATGAAGTCAGAACTCTAAATAATGAAGAGGGGCCAGGGACTGCTGGGTGGCAACACAGAGCTGCTCTGTGGTCTGAGAGGGTCGGGCTGTGTTTGCTATAGAGCAGAGCTGCCTCAGCCAGACCTTTAAAAAGGAGGATATTTAAACACCGAAAACTATTCTGCAGCTAGAGAGAGGATAATTTAAATCGTGACCCTCTTCAATCACAGATAAAATTTCATTGTTATTGTGTGTACATTGCAATGGTGATTCAAGTTCAGTTAACATCAATATACATAAATGGCAGCATATAGCCATTTTTTAAAAATACACTCTGACAGTCTGTCTTTTAATTGATGTGCTTACATGATAATCATGGGTAAGGTTTGCTGTAAGGATATCATTTCATTATTTGCCTTTGTGCCTTTGTGCGTTTCTGTACTCCCTTTTTGCCTTCTTTACAATCATTTGAGTATCTTTTAGTAACCCATTTAAATGTACTCATTGATTTTTGAACTATATCTCTTTGTAGCTTGCTGTTGTTTTACTCATTTTCTCTAGGCCCTCTTTATGGGATAATTGGCAGGTTTATTATATGTACATATACTAACAACTCCACCACACAAGGTTAACACTTTTGGTTCAGATATATGTATAAAAAAACTCAAGAGAAAAATTTTCTCTTTTAATTACACAGATTACCAAAATAGTATGTTGTAATTATCCTAGTCTATTTTAATTATCATCTAGTGCCCTTTATCCCTGAAGTTCCATGTTCCCTCAGGAAACATTTCAGTTTGAAGAATTTCCTTTAGCATTTGTTTCATAAGAGACCTGCCAGCAATTAGTTTTCTCAGTTTTTAAACATTCTCCTTTGGTAATGTTCTTATTTTGATGTTGCTACTTAAGGATATTTGAGCTGGATATAGAATTCTGGGTTGTCAGTTCTTTTCTTTCAGCACTTTTTAGCTGCTATTCCACTGTCTTTGGAGACCCTCAGTATCTGATGAAAAAACCAAGCAGCCTTTCAAACTGTTGTTCTTATATTTTAATGGGTCATTTTTTTTTTCCTGTATGCTTTTCTTCATCTTTAGTTTTCAGCAGTTTCATTATAATATGAATGGATTGGTTTTATTTGAATTTATTTTGTTGGGTGGTCTTGCAGATGCAAATTTATGTCTTTTACCAAATTTTTTTTCTGTCTTGTATGTTTAATTTTTTTTTATCTGTATTCTTTTTGACATGGT